GGGCAGATCTGCAATTCGGAGGGGGGACCCACACAGACAGTCAAACTTCACTGGGCAAGGCTTGAGCAAACTCGTTTAACTTTGTGTAGGCAGCTCTTTTGGGGCAGGGTGAGCTTGACTTCCAAAGGCACTTCCAAACTTTTTTTCTGTCATTTTTGTACAGCTTGTACATCAGACTTTGGTCTCTTACTGCTAGGTATGGTTCTGCCCAAGTAATTCCATGGTTCATATGGTTGTTAGACAGTGGTGAACCTCTGAGAATGGACAAGTTTTGTGTTTTTTAAACTTCAGTACTGAATGTAGTTGTGTGCAAGCTGCGAGTTGGTATTGCTTGTGTAGAGCTACAGATACAATTTAATTTCAAGTGTTCTGTTTAATTTATTCCAATAAATGGTTTTAAGAAGAAACCGTGAGTAGTCCAGACAAAGTTGTGCATATGTACTACCCCAAGGGCTACACCAGTTTGTTCACTTTTTTGACTTTCTAAAAAGATGCTGAAATACAAGAGCCATGAATTAGTATTTCCTTTCTGAATTTCAAGTCTTTCCCTTGTTTCTGTATTAATTCTTTTTGTTTTATAAACAGTCTCAACAGCCTTCTTGAAATATGTCCAGTCCTAGAGTCTGATAATCTCTGATAGCAGTTGTATCACTATCAAATATAGAAACAAAATAATTCCTTACTATTATGATTTTTTTTGTCAATAAAGTTACAGATTAGGGTGGTGTTTTTTAGTTCTTTTGCCTACTACACTGCAATGGGGACTTCATTTTAACTGTCTATATGCTCTTACCAGGGTTTTCCATTGCAAGGGGATTTATAGATGTATTTTTCCATTCTGTGATAATTGCCTAGATTGTTTGTGTATGCAGGTTTAAAGCTGTGCTGCAGTGAAATGCACACGTTGATGGTGAGCACTTGAGCAGTGCCCTTTACCCTCTCAGTAATCCATCCTGTTGTAGCCTCATCTGGGTGAAGGAGACATGTCTAATTTAAATATCCATGTGAAATTTCAAGTTGTTTGAAGTGTGACAGCACTTGAGTTTCAGAAAATGACTGTAAGAGGCTAGTATGAGTGAAACTAATTTTTCTGCTTGCCTGAAGAACATTTCAGGCTGAGACCAAGGAGCAAAAGGGAGCTCAGCTTTTTAGCCCTCATCTTGGACTAAGCCTAAGTTAACACTGCTCAATAGTAAGAGGTTCAGCAGTTACTGTCTATTAACAATAAAATATAATGGGATTACCAAGAACTTTTTAACATAACAAGGTATAAATTTAGGTTCATTTCAATGACTGCTAAAGGATCTCCAATTTGGTTTAATGGAGGAGACAATTCTCAGTGTTTCCCTGTGTCAGTAATTTTTTCAATAGTTTTAATGGGTACTTTATAGGCATGAATAATTTTACTGATAGGTTTCTGAATCCTACATGCATAATGTGGCATACTGTATTTGTAAATATGTTTGAGTTTACTTTGTTGCTTAATGAATTCATTTACTGAGACTGTTGTCATGGGTGACATTAAGCCTTTGTAGTTTTGCCATCTCGTGCTTTTTCTAAATACATAAATAGATTATTTTCAAAACTCTCCCTAGATTCTGTGCATCTCTGTAGTACTGAAGGCTAATGTCTGGCTGGCTTTTGGGCATTCAATGATTGCATTTCTAAGCAATGAATAGTTATAAATGTTAGTGACTTGGCTGATACATTTCTCAATTATTTGGTTATTAACTTTCTGATCTTTGATGTAAAATACATGGAGAAGTTTTTATATTTCATTTTAGACAAATTTGTGTAGCAATCATCATCTCTTGTTTAAGAAATATGATTAGTGGAGTCATGAAACATTTATACTGTCACTAATCTCACTTCTGTTCAAATCTTACTGTCATTACTTTAAATATTGTTATTCAGATAGGGACATCTGCCTTTTGCAAGTACTGTTTTTTGCTAATACAGAAACTCTCTAACACTTCAAGCAAGCACTTTCTTAAAAACAGATGGACTGTGAAAAACAAAAGGAATCAGATTTGACTGTTAGGGTGGTTTAGATGTCATGCAGACTGCATAAGCTTTTTACGAGGGAGGGAGACAAGTGTGTAAAGTGCTTTTGCTGATAGGTAGAGAACTCTTCCTTGTTTACTGGCCTGATGAAAAGTCAGTTTTGTTTTGATTGTTAAATTTCCGGCCAGCACCTTCTGTCTTCGTCCTGTCTAGCCAATGAATTAATTAGTTCCTATAGCTCATTGTAGCACTAATAGCTTTCTTGAGACTTTGCAAAAATAGAGGGTACTGATACATAAAAATGAGAGAAGGAAGAATCCTTTCACTTAGGTTTTTAGGGAGATTGGGGTGGATATTTGTCAGTGGTTTTGTTTGTTTATTTTAAGCTTTGAGTCTTAAAGATTCTGTGAAAAGCAGTCAGTTTTGGAGCTTTAGGATTCTGGCACTCAGCCAATGCTCTGCTAATAAAAGCTCTTGCCAGGTCATATATATCAGTATGCAAACTGGATAGCTTTTTTATCTCCTGCTTGCTTTAAAAATTTGTCTTAGTTTTCTTATGCCCAACTCTTATTCCTGTGGTGAAAATACTGTATCCCTGGAAAGATATTTGGAGGACAGCAAGATAAGGTTGTGAGGAGGAATTTGTTCAGAGGTCTTCAGACAGTGCTGTACAGATCTTAAGATATCTGACTCCATTATGTCTAGCTAAAATTCCTGGGATATCAGGTGGATTGACAGAACATGCTTGATTACAAAATGTAACAAGTTCATAATTCAGCTGTTGCAGATTTATTGCTGTTATATGTGGAAACTACAGAAACTATTAGAACAAATCAAGTGTCTTAAGCGCTGCCTAAGTGTTCAGAGAATAATCCGAGAGATATAAATTTTTAAATGTAATTGCCTTAAATAAGATTACCTGGTTTCTGGCATATTTTGTGGGAGCTGAGGAATCAGGAATGAAGAGCAGAAGTGAGCTAATTGCACATTACCACTGTTTAACGTTTTTTTGTCATCCAGAGCCTCCCTTGTTTGCCATATTTGTATGCCACTAGAATCAATGTACTTAATCTTCTGATTCAAGTATTTTATTTGTTCATAATTTCTTTTGCTTCTGATCCATAAGATGTGTTTCTCATTTCTGGTGAATTTTGAGAACAGTAAACTGTTTACCCAACTCTCCTAATTACTGTAATGTGAGCATTAAACAAGTAAATCAAGTTAATGTTTGTTTTATTTCTGTTCAAGTAGGATATCTCCAAATATGGACGTTCCTTATTTAAGTCTACTGAAGCTCACTAGCTTTAAGTAGATCTGGATTGGTTTTTTTTTTGTGCATCACCCTAACAGTTTTCTTAAGTGAGTTAGAAGTGGTAATTGAAGTATAAATCTATCAATGCCTACTGTGGAATGCCTGTTCACACATCTGTAGTGAAAGCTGCAAGCCATTCTGAGTGCTGCCTCCAAGGATAAAGGAAGCATGCTAAATCTTCACTTTCCCACTGAAAGCGTTTGTGTTGGATATTTAAACCTCTGACTCTCTATACTGGTGTTCCCAAATGTGGGATAGTCTGATTACAGGCTCTTCCGGGGCTGTCACTGTCACTCCCAGCCCAGTGAATGATGGGGTGACATCCTGCATCCAGGCAGCTCCTCATGCTGGACAGGTGCCTGTAGCTCCGGTAAGTGCCTGTCAAGAGGCACTTGCTGCTAATCAGGAAACAAGGGTGTGGAAGCACTTTCTGAGATAAGTATCCTGGGCATAAGCATACCTGACAGGAGTTTGTTCACAGTTTCTTGGAAATTCCTGCCTTGTGTTGCATTCAGTCAGGAAGAATAATGTATTATAAACCCTGCAGTATATACTAACCTGTGCCTTTTAATGCACTGACAGGCATCTATGCTGTATGCTGGAATGAAGCAAATCTCAGACTCATTTTCTGCAGTTGCTTTGAGTGTAATCAGCACTTTTGGAAGCAGGAAGAACCTTTGTCCTGTGAATACATTTCTGAATTTTACTGTAATGGGTATATTTTGTATGAGCCCAGCTTTTTGAGACTTGGCTGAACATTGTGCCAAGGAGGGAAAATTGGAGACCTTGTGTTCCTTCTGTGAAAACATCTACTGTGTGTCTTGGAGGGTTAGGGCCTATAAGGAAATTGATCCCTTGTTCTTCCCCTTCTAAAGCTGCCTTCTCCAGTCAGGCTAGCAGCAGCTTTATTCATCTTAGCTCTTTGTATTCCTTTCTATCACTTCTGCTGTTAGTTATTTGCTTATTTTGAATAACTGATTTGCATGTATTAAAGCCTTTATTACTCTTATACCTGTGCTGTCATTAGTACATTTTAAATGTAATAAACTATTCAGTTCTTGTAATATCTGAACAGCATGAAATGGTGTGCAGGCTATTTACCCTACTTACTTGGATAATAACAAAAATGTCTTTCAAGCATAAGCTTTTATTTTCAGGTTGTGTCATGAATCTGGCAGTGTATTTTCTGACCATATCATGCATGGTTGCAGATTATTTTAAGATCTACATATCCAAATGTAAATCACTTAAGAAGTGTTTCTCCTGCTTTAGTTTCTCTATACTTTACACCCATTGCTCAATTATAGCTAAGAACAATTAAATGTTTTAGCAGACTGTGAGACAGTATGGACCAGTACCAGCAGGGAGTGGAAAAACAGGTTACTTGAGGTAATGAAATCCATAATTTATAGCCCAGTATTTCCTTAACAATGAGAGATAAGATATGAGTTAAAGTTGCTTTCTCTTTCAGTTCAATAAATCACCACATCACTGTTTTCACAGGAGAGTGCAGATGACCTACCTTTGGCTTTAGGCTAAATAGGGAAGAGAAATGTAGGAAAAATAAATTCGTACAAAATACATTCTGTAAGAAAAGTTTGCATGTTGTTCCAGTTGTGTCATCTACCTCTTTAGGTTGAAAAAATGTTGTTGATATTGACAAAGTCTAATTTTACCTTCACAGATAAATTTGAACAGTTTTGGGCAATAAATCGAAAACTCATGGAGTATCCTCCAGAAGATAATGGATTTCGATACATCCCATTTAGAATTTATCAGGTAGGAGACAATAAGATAAAATCAAACTCTTCCACGGAGGTGTCATATATTGTAATCTGTTTTCAGAATTATATGTTTCCTTTTCTAGCATTATAGCAAAACTTTGCATGTTCATCTTTGCTGGACCCTTGAGTTGCATGGATTAGCAGACAAAATAAACTGTATTTATTCTAATAGGTAATTAACATTTACTATGTTGCAAGTGTGTAATACTTGAGAACATCCTATGGCTGATGTAGATGATGTTTGTTCTTTTTAAAAAAAACAATCCAACAACCTAATTCTGTTATTAAAAATAGCTGCTAACTATGAAGAATGCTTTAAAAGCTAAATGCCCTCTGAAAGGTCTAAGCCAAGCACTTCAAGAACAATAATTTTCCCTCAACCACTGTATGGGCTTCTTTTCTTGTAGGCATTTTATGGTGGAAGTAATGGCATAGGTCTTGCATCTAATTCTTACCTTTGTCTTCTAGTTGTATACTTACATCCCAAAACTAGCTTTTAATGTGGGTTTTTTTTCCTATTTTAATGCACCAGCACTTTATTTTTTTCAGCATTTTGTTTGGAGGCATATTCCTTGGAATCCTCAAAATTTTTCTTGTCCTAAGGACACCTTAGTTTTTACAGCATTAAAGTCACAATAAAGTTTGGAATTATGTATGGTTAAAGGCTTATACAAAAATTCGTGTAGCCTCTCTGTAAATTAAACAGTTGTGCTCTGTTGGAATGTTTTAATCTGTTTATATTTAAGTTTTGCTCCAATAGCTATGGAAAGAAAGTTCTTTATTCATAGTACTGAATATTCTAATACTACTTTATAACATGTTATAATGACCATAGAAGCCTATACAGTCTTGCAGTGGGACTAGAGTAGCTTTTAATGTTAGATGTAAGACATTTACTGTCATAATGAAACCTTAGATTGAGAACGGAAGTCAGTTATTTTGTCAGAGATCACAGCAGATGAAAAAGTATGTATAAGAAAAAGTAGTACTCACAGTATTTGTTTGATTGGTGACAAAGTTATTTGCTTGTTCTCTGATAGGTATGGGGTTTTTAAAAAAGTCTTTTCATAGAAGTCACGTAAATGGGTTTGCAAAAAAGAGGTTTTACTCTCTGAATAGGTTGCAGATCTTTAGGGCATGAGCGAAGATTTCTATGATATTACATGATTTCAAGATAATAAAGCTTTTTTAAAATAAAATAATCAAGAACAGATTTTATTGATTTATTTTATTAATTTATCACTTGAACTAGTAGTACTTATCTTGATTCTCATTACCTTTTCAGTTGAAAAACCCTTACTTTTGTTTAAACCCAAAATATCTAACAATTAAAGACCAAATACAAATAAAGATGATGCTGAGACAACCTTTGAGAAGGTTGATGTAATTTTCAGTAATGCTGCTCTTTAGCATTTCTAAATATTTCCAGTCCTTTTAAAAATTTGGGTGCAGATGTCTCTAGCTTTGTTTATTTTGTTAGTATGTGTACTGATTACTGCTCTGTGTGTTTAAAGGAATTTTCAGGAAGCCTTAGGAAGGGTGAGATTATAATTTTAATTCCAAATAAGGAGTTAGTGACAAACTTGCATATGGAAAAATAACTGATTCTAAAGTGTTTTCAGATGTATGTAACCCCTACCCTAAATGCACTTATTTTCCATTAGTGCTGGTAGAAGCCTGCTTGGCATTCTAATTGGTTGCTTGTATATCCCTATGTAAACACCTGATTTAAGCTGAGTTTGTGTTGCAGTGGATATTTATTCCCTGTGTGTCTTCACACAATGTTCATGTAGATACTTAAGGATGCACAAGTGGATGGCAGGAAATGATGATAACTGCCTTCAGTGGGAAGAGTTCCTCCTTGTGTTTTCCATACCTTCTATTACACCAAATTATTAGAAGGAAATTCTGTGAAGGGAACTTTCTACGTTGTTTTTTAACAGTATGAGGTGGATGAATTTGTTTTCCTTCAAAAAATTGTACTTGATTATGATACCAAATAAGAAAAAACAGTCTTAGCTGCAATTTAAATGTGAATTGGCAAAGTTGCTGCAGGAGAAGTGCATTCAATAAAGTGATTTGATGGATTTTTTTCACTGAAGAATTCATTATTTTACAAACTCAAAAACTCTTTCAGTTGTAAAGTTTGTCTACTAAAATACATTTCTAAAGAGTAATATGAATCATACCTCCTCTGGTGACCAAATCTGATGGAGTGTGTGGGAGAAAGAAATGGCAAAAATATGAACATCATACTTGGGTAAGTCAGAACTAAACTAACCACAGGTAATTTTAAAAACCTTTGTCCACCTCTTCTTTTAAGTATAGCAGCTAAGATTGGACCAGAATCCTGGCATCTACAGTATATGATGTAAAAAAAGGTTGAGAATCACTAAGGATCAACTCATTTGTGATTTTAAAATTTAGCTAAGGTATCTCAGAGATTTTATTGCCAGCTGTCTGTCATATTCTGCTAGCTGTGTCATATGGAACTTGAACCAGATAAACCTTTGACATAGGTGGAAACTTTTTCTACCAGAGACAGTTTAAAAATAGTATTATATTTTGGTGATACTTTTAATTCAATGTGTCAAAAAAGAAGTTCCCCACTTCAGAGGCGTAAACTGCTTTGTCTTCAACTGACAGGTGCACAAAACCTTTCTTTCCTTTTTATCTGAGTACTGTAGAATTGAGTGCTTTTTGCACTTGTTCTTTAATGGCAAGAAAGAAAATAATAGTAATGTTTTGAGTATAATTTCAATTCAAGTGTTGCTTTTCACGTCCAGTACTAGAGCTAGTTTGGCTTGTGGAATTTCCCCCTGTGTTTATACGACCAGCTGATGTTTCACAGTCTAATTTAACAAACTGACTGATCGAAGGCAGGAAGTTTTCATCAGTCTTTGGCTCCAGGCACTGTGACAGGGCATATTAGTCAGGAGAAGAGTCTCTATGTGCTGATAGAGACTGCTCTGACGAACTGCTGCCTGCTGTGGGAGCATTCTGAATCTCAGTTGTACTCATTCCCCAGTTTGTTTCTTGCTCTCTCCCCATGTCATGCTCCCCTACTTCTTCATGCTCTTCTCTGGAGTCTGCTCTCTGAGTGTGTGGGATTTAAAGCTGTATATTGTATTCTTGAGATTAAATTTACAAAAGTATTGGGAAGAAAGTGAATGAAAACTCCTTATGCCAAGTTCTCCCGAGTTTTTTTAGAGTTGCAATTGCTGGAGGCAGCCTGGCTGTTTTGTGTTTGCCATCCCAAAAAGGGATGATCTGAGACTGTTTGCATTTTCCTTTATTTGGTACTGAATGAGCATTTCCTTTCCTTCCATTTTCTAAGGGTTTTGATTAGCTTATTTATTTTATTGCTTACAATTGTATAGTAGACCTTAACTTTAAACACTTTTTTTCTATCATAGGTCCCTTAAGATGTTGAGATTAAGTTGTACAGTCACAGATTGTTAGTATGTTTGTCTTCCTTTGTAACATGAGTGAAATTCTTCATATTTAATAATATATCAGTTAAATTCAACACTTTTTATGTCAAAGCTGCAGTATTGAGATGTCTTAGTAGACATAAATGTTTACCATGACCTGTCCTCTAAAAGTGGGAGTGGGAAATGAAATATTTTAAGGCATTATTAGTATCTGTCTCAGCAAGTGAATCAGAAGCTCAAGCATGGCCATTTCCAAGCAATTGAAGACTGTTTCATCCATATTTCCTCATTAATTGGCAGACCTTGGATAAGCAATTGCAAAACCCATTGCAAGTATGCAAATCAACAGCACAATTCGGCCCATGTTGTGACAACTGTTAAAAAAAACTGATCAAAACAGATTGTTTGGTAAGATGCTGGGTCTACCTGTAGAGTTTTCAAGTAATAATAAACCTACCTTTTAATGCTGGTAAATTATTAACTTCTTGTTGTTGTTGTTGAAAAGTTTCCATTGCATTTCAAGTCTGAATTTGTCTGACTTCAGTTTCTAGATTCTGTTTTGCCTTACCCCATTTGAAAGTCATGTGGCTTTCTGACCTACCATGTTTACTTGTGGATTGGTGTCAGGAGCTTTCTTTGGTAAGCTGAATCAATTGAGCTTTTTAAGCCTCTTGTCGTGAGACTTTCTTATCAGTGCTAAAGTTGGTTTTTAGTCATCTTTTCAAACGCTAGCTGATAGTTTGGTAATCCTCAAGATTAATATTGAGGTTAGGGAGGCGTAAAGGGAAAAAGTAAATTTGTTTATAGGTTATTAAACCAAAAACGCTTCAGGCACTGGTGGAAGACAGGTGAAGTCATCTGCTACTTGAAACTTCAGATCTGAAAAATCTTTTGAAAGAAGTTGCAATGCAATAACTTGTCAAGGAAAAGAACTAGAAAATATACTGTCGACCTGAAGAGGGCAACAAAACACAGCAAGTTTCAGCATTTTGTGGGCTAGTATAGAATGTTCTTGAACAGACCTATGTGCAATACCTTATTTTTTTCTTATTTATTGAAAATGACACTTTCATAAAGGACCTGCTGAAAATCAACAATTTGTTTCTTAAAAACTTCCTTTTACAAGAAAGAAGTTTGAGTGACTAGGAAGATCATGTGAAGTGGTGATTTGTGTAACAGCTGGGCTCAGCTGAATTTCTGTGCTGAAGAGAAACAAATGGACTCTGAGTTATTCTAATAACTGTTGGTTCAGTACTAGAGAAACAGTAGTGCACTTTCACCAGTTTTAAACTACTTCAGAATCAAAGCTTTATGAATAAGAAAGTTTAAAAGCTTTGCTAGGAAAATATTTTTCCTAGTGCCTCATGACTGGGGGGAAGAAAGGAAAGAAACACTTCCAGCAAGTATTACATGGGGGCAGCATGATCCTTAAATACTTGTTTTCTGAATTAGGTTGTTTTGTTCTGTGCTGAAAGTATTAGCAATTTGACTAGTTCTCACCTTGAGTTGAAGGTCACTGTCACCACAGTTCCACCAGAGGTTCCACAATTGCATAAGCTTTTCTTATGCATCTCGGTGCACAGTGAAATGAGCTGGCTCAAACCAGTGCTGCTAAAGGTGACTTTATTAACATACTCCATATTAAGGAGTGCTCATGCAGCTCTCTGGAAAGACTTCAGGAACCCATGTGCAAGATCAGCCTTGTGCCTTTAAGAATCTTGGTACAGGATGGGTGCTGTCAATCAGAGTTTCAAAGAAAAATTCTGAGATGATAAATTGTATTTGTTGTCAAAATGTGACTCAAGTTTCCTTAAATAT